TATTATGTTCATATACTTTAGATAATATTTTAAAAACCGATTTATTCAAAGTGTGGAATTTTTAGATTGAAAATAATTGATGATAATAATTATAATAAAAATTCTAGGTATTAACAAATTTATATCTATTTATTTTTTAGTGTCAATTCTTTAAAATATGTCTGAAAATCAACCAAAAGATGAGAACACACAAAACGCATTATCTGAATTGTTAGATGATGCTCTAAAAGATTTTGAAGAACCTAAAGAATCAAATGCATCAGCTGATGCATCGGATACATCTGAAGTTACTAATTTTAGTGCAAGTGATAATTTTGTAAAAGAGAGTCTTGAAGAAACAATGAAATCGTTTATGAATAATGATCAAGCAGAATTAGCCGCTGGCCTACAAGAACTAATGTTAGGAGATGAAGGATSTAATTTACAAACAGTTATTCAAGAATCATTAAAAAACTTATCAGAAGCAAAACAAAATCTGCCAGAGGGAAGTGATATGACTTCAATGTTCGCAAATATGGGTATTCAAGATGACATCAATTTAGATGAAGATATGCTGCCAATGTTAATGCAATTTATGCAGCCACTGCTGAGCAAAGAAGTACTTTATCCATCTATTAAAGATCTGTGTGATAAATATCCAAAATGGCTTGAGGATCATGAACCAACATCTGATAAAGAAGAATTTGAACAGTAAATTTTTAATATAGTTAATAGTTAGATAAATAATTATTAATAAGTTATTATATCTTATATAAGTTTTCCTTAACATTTTAGGTATACACAAATGTTTAGTTGTATGAAAGAAGTCCGAGATCATTTAGAAAATCAACAGGATACTGATGATGATGTCACTAAGACTAGGAAATTCAAAGAACTCATGGAGTTATTGAAAAAAATGCAAGAATGTGGCCAACCACCAGAGGAATTAATGAGAGATGTAGCCGATGGCAATCCAATACCGGACAATGTTGGCCAATGCACTCTTATGTAGCATATATTTATCTTGAAGTATTATTTTTATTGAGTCTTGTTTGTTTATTTATTGTGAGTTTGATAAATGAAGACTGAATAAATATAGGGTATAGGTAAAAGGGTAGCAGATTTCACTAATGTGAATTTTAAACTTCCAAAGATAAAATTCCTCATATTGACATTTTCTAAATATTTTATTTTTTCAGATTTGTTTATTAGTTAAATTTTTAACTTACTAAATATTATTGAWTCAAATAGTAGATMAATCATTTCATGGTTAGTTTTTTAATCTAATATGAAATACACAATTTTTATATGTTATTACTTATATACATACATAATGTATTGTATTATATTGTAATTTATCAAAATTAAATCTGGCTTTTTTGTAATTAAAATACAATTATTTAACATACTGTTTACATTTATTTGAAATGTTTGTATTTTTACTTATATTAATAATGAAAGTATGTACAAAATAATAATTGCAAATTTATAAATGTAATTTAATACTTAGGAATKTATGTCATATATTTTCATTTATGTTACTCTCTAAGATAAATATTATGGCCAATCAATTTTAAGGAATTAATCTGCTACATTTAATAACAATATTTCTTTAAAACTTTTTTATTGGATTGGGATAATTGATTAAATTAAATAATTATTATTTRAGTAGGATAAATCGAAATGTCTCAATTAGTGGATTYTATGTCATATTTGTTATGATAAAAAGATACTTTTAATTTTATTATATAATTATCATTGACATTATATTTGTTAAAAATTAATCTTCAGACAGGGTTTTTTTTTACTTTGTTAAATTGTATACTTTATTCAATTGAATATTAATATTTAGATTTAAAAACATTGTATACATAGATATTTTAAAAATGCAATGTGGAGCTTGGTGCTTACATTATTGTGTAGACATTATGATTATTGTATTTATAATGTGTAATAAAATCAAAATAATAATTAGTTGTATTATCCTGCTATTACCTATTCATAATTAATTTATTATTCATATACAGTTACAATAAATATTTCATCTGAATGGCAGATTGAAATCAGAAATTTCAAGAAAGAGAGAAAAAAAATATACACATTCTGGGCTAATTTTCAAAATTGTTTCCCTTTTGGTGTACACATGTATAATACAAGGGCGTCATTTGGGGGGTGGCAGGGTGTGCGGTTGCACTCCTTACTTTTAGAATTTTACAATTGACCTGCGCCTTGATGAAGCCTAAAATAATGCATGAGCCACGAATGCACAATTATTTATATGATTTAAATCAAATATAATGTATGGAAATAATTGAATGCAGGATAATAATCATATACGTATATATATCTATTTTTATATGGTCTGGTGAAATTTCAAAATGGCCTGCTTGAAACTTCGCACACCCGAAAAAAAACCTGAAATGACGCCCCTGGTATAATAACTGTAAAGTAAGGAAATGTTATGAATCATGAATTAATTTTATTTTCTGCTAAGTAGCATATTAAAATATCAATATTTTCTATTCATTCAGAATAATAATAAAGTCAACYCTTTTAATTTTTATATAATAATAAACAATGAGTCCGTGAACTATAAATATAATAATAATAATAATAATAATAATGTATTATATAACATGAGCCTACACTAGATGTTTTTTAGTGAAACATCGTGATTTCTGACCTAATATAGTAAATAGTTCTTAATTGATTAATGATTTTGAGATTTCATATTACAATTTTCAATATCGAACAGGTAAAGTTAGTTTACCGTAATATAATGGTAAATAGGAAATTCATTTTGAATTATTGCTAAAGTATTAAGTATTTTACTTTATCTGTATCATACTATCATGGTTAACTGTGTAAATCTAAAAATATTATCACAGATAAAGATAATAATTCAATACATAATATCATGAACTAAGATATATATATATATATATATATATCTTAGTTCACGCGTAAAATATTTAAGTACTATAATTTTTATTCTATTGTTGATTATCCTAACTGTGAAAATGGTTGCATTCGAACTATTATGATATCTTATCTCTGCAGCTCCACCCCCGCGTATGATAGCAATTAAAACTGAAATGTAAACAAAATAAAAACAATTGATTTTACAGAAAATAAATAAAATTCCTAGTCATGGTATGAGTTTTTCAATTCTCTGAAAATCATTTGAATTGCCGATTTGGGTAAAAAGTCAAAATATGAGTGGAAGAAGACTTCARTCCTGTCCTAYTACACTCCCACAATAATAGTCATGTGGACTCCAACAAAAACAAACAAATATGGAGTTGGTGAGTTATATTTTKGATTTCAGATTATTTAAAATGTATAAGTATTAACTTATATCTCGGTTTAGTAATATACAACTGGCATGGAGATAATCCATATGGGCTACATCTTGAAATCGGGGACACTGTCCAAATCCTTGAACAATGTTGTGGTTAGTATGAATATAATTTTTAATTATTAATTATGCATTTGAATGTATTTTAAAGCTGTTTTGTGTGTCATACAGGTTGGTACAGAGGATTTATCACTAAAAATCGATCTGTTAARGTGAGACATTTCTACCATTATTTTTTTAGCATTGGTTAGCACTCTTTTGATATTGATATCATATCTCTTTTTATGTTAGGGTATATTTCCATCTACATACATCCATTTGAAGCCGTGTCGTATTGAAAATGAAGGGTAAATTTAACAAATTTATGTATTTTCTATTTTTCAAAGTTTATTTCAATTTAAAATTTCAGAACTTTTGAAACAGCTATACCATTGGAAGATATGGTTGTCCGAGAAGTATCATTGGTTTTGCGTGATTGGAATTGTATTTGGAAGTCATTATATGTGGTATGTAAAAAATATATTTTCATGTTTATGAATTATAAAAGAATAATGCACAAAGAATAGTTTTATAATAATATAATGAATATACTTTTACATTTAGGTAGGTACATTATAAAGGTATACATATAAGTAGAAATAGTAAGAATAGATCCTGACAAACTCTGATTAATAYAATGATATTTTAACAATAGTTAACCTGATTAGTGATTATGTTGAGCTCTAGTTCTTTCCACTGCAATTYAACAATTTTAAATAAATATTTATAGTTAATTATTTAAGTATATTATTACTATATTAGCTAATTATAACAATTTTATATAATATGGAATCTTTATTTATCTTCTTTCATAATATTTATGAATTTATTTAATATGAATTAATTAAATGCATTAATATACTATTTGTAGGAACGGGAAACATACAAGTTTATTACGTTACGAAAAGTAATGCGAGAGTTACTGGAATGGAGAAAACAATTATTAACTGGAACATTAACTCAAGATCAGACAAGAGAATTGAAGTTAAAAATAACTGCAAAAATTGATTGGGGAAACAGGTAAATAYGGAAATATTGCATGTTGATTGTTTTATTCTATTGCTATTTAAAGCAGGATTATTGATATTGTCAAAGGCGGATTTATCCTTTTCACAGCTATAGGCACCATAAATGTGCCGCCCCTTAAATAGGAGAACAAGTTACTATACCTCATCCAAAATACCTATACTAAATATTAAATAATATGTAAACAATAGTAGTGCACATCCATTTGAATTTTTAGACTATATTTTTGCCTATATTTATTTATGCTACTTTGAAAAAATGTCAATGGATGTCCACTGAATTTTAATAAAAATATACAATGATAATTTTTATTAATTATAAGAAGAGGTCGGTTTTTTATGATTTTACATATTTGTTTTTAGTCTATGCAGTTAAATGGGAGTGAGAAATCTTTACGATTCATTAAACACAGAATTCATAGGAAAACATTTTTTTTTTTTTTAGGGTTAGGGACAACCTGGAGAACTGTAGGGGAAGGTACTGTAGGTTTTAACATGTGGGTTTTTGGCAAAATTTTGAATGGGCACCCGTGGAATTCTGCCATGCCCAGTTGGGAGCCGGCGGCCTCTCTCCAGACACTGCAAAATGCCCAAAGAGTGATGCTGCCCGTGATCGAGATTCAAACCGGCGACTGTGTGCGTCGCAACCGACGCCTAAGTCCGTTCGAYCAATCCACCCCCTAGAAAAAAATTTATTTTGCATAAAAAAGCATATTTTATGAGTTAGAGAATATTTGAGAATATTTTTGTAACATCGGCATATAATGAATATATTTCACGTATATCAGCACTTTGATAGGTATAATGTTCAYTAAATAATTCTATTTATAAATAATTAATTTTTTGGTTTTAATAAAAATTAATCTCCAGGTATTCCTTATCGATGCAATAGTACGTAGGTTATTTTGTTAGTTAAAATAAATTTAAAATGAATAATTTTTTTTTAATATTAAAAKAATATTTTGCATATTTAAGGACATAAAACATCATATTTTAAGGATTKTAAGAGAATATAAATCCGACCTCTAATTATAAGCCATCAATAATAAAGCAAAATTATCACCATTATTAGGAACATTTAATAAAACACTACAATTTACAATAATTTTTATGATAAAATCTTAGTTTCTATAATACAAATTAAAAGACATACATAACAGATGTTTAACTTAACATCTAACTTAACTTTTAGGCAACAAGGGCTCTGGGTGGACTATACCAACGTGTCATTAAATATAGTATTATCAAAAACTGTTTAATATACAGATGTTAACCATATTTATAACGATTAATGACAACTATAAATTATAATGAACCACAATGGATAGGTATACCGTATACAGTGTGTGTTGGGTAGTAACGTAACGAAAGTAACGCGTTACTTTGCTTGTAACTTGTTACATMATTTCATTAGAATTATTTCCAAGTAACGAAAATGTAATGGAAATTACTTTTGATAATTAATTTCTATTGAATAACGCGTTACAGTTTTGAATTATTAAGTACCTACCTTTTGCGAATTGAAAAAAATAATATGTCTATAATGCGGGTATTATTATGTTTACCAATCTAGTATATTAATATACTATATATATATATTTATTAAAGCTCCTTATACAGCTGATCTCACWATTTTGAATTCAATGACATTAGTTAAGAATATTTTTATTAAATACAACATAGCTTTACCATCCAGTGCTTCTGTAGAGCGATTATTTAGTGTTTCAGGGAACATTTTTTCTAAAAACAGGTCGCATATGAGTGACAAAAAYTTTGAAGAAACACTATTGTGTAAAGTTAATTTAAAACATAAATAAATATAAAATTATAATATTGTATTATATTGATTTCTTTTTCAAATTATATCTATTTACTATAGGTAATGTATACTAGAAATACATTACCTAGTAACATTATTGCCAGGCACAATGATAATATTGTTAAGAAATATAAAAAAAAAATTTATTTTTTTTGTAACAAGAAAGTAATGAGTTACTTTTCAATTTGAAAAGTAAAGTAATTTCATTACAATTTTATTTGAGTAACGAATAAAGTAACTTTAAAACTTTTTAAAAGTAATTTACCCAACACTGACCGTATACCATAACACAATGTACAAAAATATAAAATATAAAAAATACGCAYATTATTAATTATTTTTCATAAATATAAAATAATTGATTTTCCAATTTTTTTGTATACATTTGATGTTTTTAATTACACAATAAAAAATGTTCTGCCATAGGCAGCTGTCTACAGTGCCTGATGAGAAATCCGCCTCTGAATATTGTTAATAGAATGCAAAGACAAATATTAAARCTATTAATTTGCTTGTATTAAGTTATATTTTTTTCATTGCATTATGAAATGCTTATGTGGTGTTACATAAATCGCTAAATATTTAAAGAATCTATTGTGAATTAATGGTTACTTATAAGTAGTTTAGAAGCTTATCAAATTTATTAATTTTTATGCTACTCGGCATACAGGGGTATTTTTATATAATATTCATAAACAACATCACTGCAGTTATTTYTATCACTTAATAGTTGTGTAATTCTTAACACCGTAATATTCCAATAATGAGGTATTGATTGAAGTTCACCATCATTAATATAATCCAAAATTTTCATAAATTGTAGATTTAAAATTTTTTTTAGGTCATAGAAAATGTTTGTGAGGGTATGACTTATCGATTTGTCAAAATATTGCTTTAATTTATGTTTACAGTTATTTTTATTTTTATTTTGAATTTCAAATAATAATAAAATATAAACTGTTACATCAAGCCCTCAAAAATATTATTTTCTATAATTTGGRTCTAAGAGAGAAAACAATATTGCGCTGATATTACTATGAGGACTATGTGTGGCTATCGGGTTGCTGATCCCTACTCTTAAGAGAATGTCAGTACAATTTTTTCTCTAACCCACACATAGCATAGCAAATTGTACTTTTACAATAATGATTGTAATCATAATAATTTCTATAATTAGTGAAGTGACCTCTTATTATAATTTGAAGGTAAAAGTATTATCTAGGGCATCTTATAATTATAATTATAATATAAATTCAGAATTYCAGAGATGACAAACAATTCAAAATATATAACATTTAAATAGCAAGTATAAATATTAAAGATTAGTTAGAATTTTTAATATCTGTGAAAAGTTGAACAAGAAATTTGTATGAAAATGTAAAAAGTCTGATATACCTGGCACATGTTTTATTAAAAATTGGTTAATTTAAAAAAAAAAATCTATCAAATAGTAAAATAGCATTAATATACATATGCATACTATGCATACTATAATATAGTAGTATATATCTAAAACAAAAATATTTGTTTCCATTTTTATACAATATGTGAGTAAAATATAAAATGTTCTGCTGTTTAATATAGGATAAAAAAAAATGTCAGTTGGATTTATATTTAAATTATATTAATAACTAAATATTAAGAAAATATTATCTGTGGTTAAACATGTACAAATWATATATTTTTCTTCGTTTGAAGATCAATAACTTGTGCTCCATCATCTTTGTTCAATACTAAAAATGTTTTAATAGTTATAAATTATAAGTGTTGTATCATTAATTATRAATCCCTAATTCGCTAATTTAGTGTTTATAACCAATGATTGTAACTTATAACTTATAACCAATTGTACTTACAATTAATTAATATTAACTTGTTATAAGTATTCATAGTTTTCCACTTTCTTAGTAATTTGTGTACAGCATATTATAGTTACCTTATTTGAAAAGTATAACTAAAAAATGAAACATGATGTGAATAGCATATTTTCWCAATTTCTCAAAGCTCATAGAAAAAAATAAATTTGTTCATTGTTGGATGTTCATTGTAAAAAATGAACATCTTCAAATTCACAAAATCCATTGGTTGAACACGGTTAGATTCGCTTTTCAAAAAATCATTTCATTTGTTGTAATTATTTTTAAATGCTTACTACTAATCATACTAATCATGCCATATATTTCATTATGTAAATACGAATATTCATTAGTATTTTTTTAAATATATTCCTTGGGAGTAGAAACTATTAGCTATATGAGCTAATTCAAAGCTGGGCAGTATCTATACTCTATCCAGCTTGAGAACGCGCCACGCACCAACCAAAACTTGATCCCCTGCGCAATATCCTGCCTTAGGGGAACCGGTTTCAATAGCAGTGTGGTGCGGGGGGTGGGGGATGCACAAAATTGGTGTATTCTATCGCTGGACAGAATRTAGTAAATAAGTCAAATGTTACTTTTACCAATAACTTAACTAGTTAAAGAATGAATTTTTTAATATATTAATTTGATTATTTATGATTATAATTAATTTCAACCTAACTTAGTTATTGATCAAAGTAAATTCCTATTGATWATTTATATAATTTTATAAAAATTGTAAATAATTATCATATAAGTGCTTTAAAAAAATATTTATAAAATACATTAACATAGTACTATCAAATGCTCACATATAGCAATGGTTTGACTGCTGCTAA